CAGGGAAAGGGATGTGGGAACAAGGAAAGGGACACAGGGACAGGGAATGGGAGAAGGGAGAAGGAAGGGGACGTGGAAACAGGGAAGGGGAGAAGGAAGGGGACACGTGGGGACAGGTGGACAGAGGGACAGAAAAGGGGAAACAGGACAGGGAAGGGCACCCGGGGACAGGGAAGGGGATGTGGGAAGAGGGGACAGGAAAAGGGACAGGGAGGGGGACACAGGGATGGCAAAGAGGAGAAAGAAGGAGACGCGGGGAGGAGGAAGGGGACTCGGGGACAAGGAAAGGGACAGGGTAGGGAACTCAGGGAGAGGGAAGGGACATGGGGACAGAGAAGGGGGCATGGAAAGGGCCCCAGTGCCACCCCCAGCCCCACTCACTGTGCAGGTGCCTCCTGCCCGCCCTGTGCACGGCCAGGGCCTCCAGAGTGTCACACACGGGGCGGTGGGGACACACGGAACAGGCGAACCTGGGAACACGCGGGGACACCGTGGGGACACTGCCAGGACCATACATCCCCCCCCCAAAACACGGCAGGGGTCCCCTCGAGGCCCCCCCGGCCCAAGGCGGGGGTCCCTCACCTCCCGCTCCGCAGCAGCAGCGCCTCGTCCTCGGGGATGGAATTTGCCAACAGGTCGGAGATTCGGCGTTTCTGGGGGGCACAGGGGGCGTCAAATGAGGGGTCTCAATTTGTGCCAAAATGTGTCCTCATCGCTGTCCCCTCCCCGAGCACAGGGACCCTCAGAGCCCTGGGGACCCCTCTGTGAGGGGGTTGGGGAGGGATTTAGGGGCAGGGGGGTCCAAGGGAAGGGAGGCGAGATTCAGGGAAGGTCTTAGGGGTCGCCAGGGGGGGGTTCAGGGGAGGGCTGAGGGGACCCGGGAGGGTTCGGGAAGGGTTAGGGGGGGTTCCAGGGAAGAGCTGAGAGGTCTCGGGGGGGGCTCAGGCCGCAATACGAGGGCAACCCCGGCGGTTGCGCGGGGCGGCCGGGTCTGGCCCCGGGCGCTCTGGGGGGCCCTGAGGGCGGTCCGGGGGGGGTCCCAGCCCCACCTGCAACGCCCCGAGCGGCCCCGGATCGTCCCCATCGCGCTTGAAGGACATGGCGGCCCCGCGGTCACCATGGCAACCGCGCCTCACTTCCGGGTTCCTTCCTCCCAGGCGCCTGTGCGCGAGGGGCAGCGACCAATCAGAGAGAGCGTCGAGTACCCCCGTAGCGTGATGGAAGTTGTAGTTCTTTCGCAGCGCGCCGTGCATAGAGATGAAGGCGGAGGGTGCCCGTTCAGGACTACAACCCCAGCAGGCCCCGCGGCGGCGCGGCGGGGCCCGGGGCTGAGGGAGCGGCAGGGCCGGGCCGCGACCCCCCCCGAGGGACCCGCGGGCCGGGACCCCCCCCCCCGGGCCATGGCGGGGAGCGGCGGGGCCGGGGCGGCCCCCCGGGAGCACCGCCTGCAGCCCGGGGACACCCTGGCGGGGCTGGCGCTGCGCTACGGGGTCACGGTGAGCGGGGCGAGGGGACGGGAGTAGCGGCGGGGAGGGACGGCTCGGGGTGTCCCCGCGGGCCACGGGGACCAGCCCGGGGCCGGTTCTCTTCCGTCCCTTACTCATCCTTGTCCTGCTCCATCCTCATCCCATCCCTGTCCTTGTTCCTGTCCCCATCCCTGTCCCTGTCCCCATCCCTGTCCTTATCCCATCCCTGTCCCTGTCCGCATCCCTGTCCTGGTCCCCATCCCTGTCTCATCCTGTCCCTGTCCTGCCCCGTATCCAATTCCGGTCCCCATCCCGGTCCTGACTCCCGTCCCTGTCCCCATCCCATCCACATCCCATTCCTATCTTTGTCCCTGTCCTGACCTTTATCTTGTCACCATCCCATCCCTGTCCCTCTCCTGGTCCCAATCCCGCCCCATCCCATCTCTGTCCCTGTCCTGGTCCCAATCCCACCCCATCCCATCCCTGTCCCTCTCCTGGTCCCAATCCCATCCCATCCCTGTTCCCGTCCTGGCCAGATGGAGCAGATCCAACGTGCCAACCGCCTCTACACGTCAGACACCATCTTCCTGAAGCCCACCCTGCTCATCCCGGCGGGATCCCAGTCCCAGCCCCTCCCGGGGGACGAGCCCCAGGACATTCCCGACCCCCCGGAGCCCCCGCTCCCGTCCCGGCACGACCTGTCGGCCATGGAATTCCTGCGGCACCTGGACACCGAGATCGGTCGCTCCAAGGCGGCCGCGGCGCAGCAGATCCGGCACCGACGCTCCGGGTGAGCCCCGGCCCAAAGCCGGGATGGGGTGGGGTGGGATGGGGCACAGATGGGATGGGATGGGGACCAGAGTAAGGACAGGGATGGGGTGGAGACCGGAATGGGATGGGGGACCAGGATAGGGACAGGGATGGGATGGGATGGAGCACAGATGGGATAGGGATGGGATGGAGCACAGATGGGATGGGATGGAGACCAGAATGAGGACAGGGATGGGGTGGAGACCGGAATGGGATGGGGGACCAGGATAGGGACAGGGATGGG